CAGAACGCATCTTTCCTGCTGAAGTGGTATCTATTTATCTACTTGCATTTGCATGCAGCCCCTCCCGTACAGAACGCATCTTTCCTGCTGAAGTGGTATCTATTTATCTACTTGCATTTGCATGCTTTGAACTAGATTGGCAGGAGTTGGGCCGAGTAACAGGAGCTCACCGCGATGTGTGGCACTCAGGCCTCAAACCCGGACAGTCAGCTTTCCAGCTGATGAACTCAGCATCTTAATCACTGACCCATCAAACCTCCCTTAGTAACATCAATATTACAATAAAAGCATTCTAGGGAATTTAGATCCTAAAGCACTAAAAAAGAACAAATTGTTTAAATAGACAAGATATTCCCTAGCAAGAAGCTGGCATCTTTTTAATTGGAACAGTTTTTTTAACAGGTATTAGAAATATTCCGAAAATATTAAGGGATGCATTGAAAGGAGATTTGCTGCAGTTCTGTTTTTTTGTAAATATACCATATTGATCATAAGTACTTGGAAATATGCATATCCAAAGGCTTTGTTCAGGTTGCAACTTCTTAACTTAATGCTGTATTTTACTATTATTATTTTTTAGATACACTTCCCAAATCTTCCTTATTCAAAATGAATCAAACTATTAGGACACAGAAATTGCTGCACCTATTCTCAGAGAAATTCTATAGTTTTGGAAATTCAATACAAGAAGAATGGCTATATATATAAAAAAAGCTGTGTGTTGAAATGTGATGTTTAAGAAATGGAAAGGATCTTACTTGGTAGCAAAACTTTCAGAAGTCATCAAGGTTAGAGCAGAAACGAGAAAGGGAAGGATCAAAAACTTGGAGTGAATATCCTCTTGACCTAATGAAAAGAATTATGCACTTTTCATTTTATTTGTTTCCCCTTTCTACACACACACACACCTGTAAGAGGGTAACAGCATTCTGTGTGCCTTTGGCATATAGCAAGTTGCTTTGGACATCACTGTGGCCACAAGACCATGGAAATGTTCTTCAGACAACTGTTGGTTCCTAAGCCAAGAAACAGAGATGAGCACTACACCCTAGAGTTGGACACAACTCTCTCTGTGTGTGTATAACAAAAAGTCATTTACTCCAGCATAGTAAAAGTCAGAAGCAGTAGTAAGGCTTTTATTTTTGTTTCCTATTTGAATGTTATAAATTGCTTCAATTATTAAAGCAAATTTAGCTATATTAAATGAACAGGGCAAGGCAAGCAAACTTCTCAAGTTGCTATGAACGTTTCACCCTGTCTCTGGCAGTCACCCAAAAAAGCTGGAAATTGAGGGATCCAGCTCCAAACAATGTATGTGCTTAATTTGGTAAGCATTTATGCAAGCTGATATGAACAAACTAGAGAATATACCTAATATGATAGTTAGTATATACAACACATTCTATACCTGTGCAGCATCTAAGAGATGGAACAATAAATGCATTAAAAAGATCTATATAGAATAGATTATAAAGATGTAATATCATTGGATGATTTCAGGATGATGTAATAAAATGTTATAATATAAACTTACTTTAAATTTAATATGCATTATGTTGAAAGGATGTAATAACAGCTGGGCTTAATGGATGTTAAATGATTATAACAATTTGTATACATGTATATTAGATTGATGATGCTAATAATGGGGAAAAAACATGGAATTGGAAACTATTAGAGAATGTTATCAATGCTGAAATNCCAGAATTCCCCAGCCAGCGAATGCTGGCTGGGGAATTCTGGGAGTTGAAGTCCAGGCATCTTCAAGTTGCCAAGGTTGAGAAACACTGCATTAAGCTTCTTTCTATTGGAAGGAGTCCAGCCTGGGATCAGACATTCATCATTCCCCTCTGATATAATTATTGGCCTGTGACACAAATTTCCCCCACTGTGGTTTAAAAGTAGTTCACAGTTTTAAAAATATGCTACAGGTGGTCCCCGACTTACGACGACGACGGAGTCAAAAATTTCCATTGCTAAGAGAGAGTTGTTAAGTGACTTGTGCCCGATTTTATGACCTTTTTGTCCACAGTTGTTAAGCAAATCACTGCAGTTGTTAAGTGAATCCAGCTTCGCCTCTTGGCTTTGCTTGTTGGAAGCCAGTTGGAAAGGCCACAAATGGTGATCACATGACCTCAGGGCAGGGCAACTGTGATATAATACATGCCAATTGCTAGGTGCAATTTCCAAGTGCCCAAATTTTGACCATGGGAATGCCTCAATGGTCGTGAATATGAAAAATGGTCATAAGCCACTTTTTTTCAGTGCTCCTGTAACTTTGAACAGACACTAAATGAATGGTTGTAAATCGAGGACTACCTGTACTATAACTAACAAAATCATAAATGAAAGCTACATCCAATCACAGCAAGATCGAAACTCATTTTCCCGGTCTGTAGAGATCACATCCCTCCACCTGTTGCAGATAACCTGGGATACAGCCTTGAGAAAAGTATGTGTGGAATGTGCTTCTGGTTGTGGCTGCCGTGCTGCTCCTTCAGCTCCCCCCCCCCTGCCTATGGCAACTCGAGAGAAGGCCAGGGATACTTTGAATTGACATGTGGACTTCAACACCCAGAATTCTGAGAGCTGAAGTCCACATAGTTAAAAAGTCACTGAGGTTGAGAAGCACCAGCCTAAACTGACACAAGAGAAGACCTTTTCTAAGCGGGATTGGCATTCCCCAGCTGTAGGGCTCACCCTGAGGAGAGGATGAATTTGTTTGTGATACAGTTTGAGCATGGAGAAGCTCCAGCGCGGTTTGGTTCTTCTTGATCTTGCGGTCGGCATTCACCACGTTCATTTTCTTGGGGCGCCCACGCTTCCTACCAGCCATCTTCCTTCCCTTTTTGCTCAGCTTCTTCTTGCGTGCTTTGGAGGGAGATGGTTTTTTGACAGTGTTAGCCGCAAGGTTCTTGTCTTCTTCAGCACCATCGTCCTTTAAAAAGAAAAGAAAAGAACGAAAGAAAGAAAGGAGAGAAAGAAAGGAGAGAAAAAGCAACATTGAGATAAGAAAAAAAAAAGGTTCATTCTTTCTCCTTATGGAGGATAGTCAAAAACAACCCCCCAAACTCAGTTTTTCGTACAGGTAGTCCTTGACTTATAACCTTATAAGACTTATAATTCATTTAGTGACTTTTTGAAGAATGGCACTGGGAAAAGTGACTTAGGACCATTTTTCACATTTATGACCGTTGCAGCATCCTGATGGCCAGGAATTTTGGGCTCAATTGCAGCTGTTAAGTTGAGAATTACCTGTACTACCATCAAGCAGAACTATTAAAAATCCCCTTTCTGTAGGAGACTTGAACAGCTGCCATCAACCGGAGAAGGCCAGCTATGCTACAAGAAAATAGCATATTAATAATTATCTTCCTGTATAAGCCTATTGTGCCATGAAAGATTAATATAACCTTTCATTCCTGAGAGGGGTGAGGTTTCTGTTTTTAAAGTAATTTCCAAAGGAATCAGAGGTCAAATAGACAATTCAATATACAATACAATAGCAGTTGGAAGGGACCTTGGAGGTCTTCTAGTCCAACCTCCTGCCTAGGCAGGAAACCTTATACCGTTTCAGACAAATGACTATCCAGCGTCTTCTTAAAGACTTCCAGCGTTGGGGCATTCACAACTTCGGGAGGCAAGCTGTTCCACTGATTAATTGTTCTAATTGTCAGGAAATTTCTCCTTAGTTCTAAGTTGCTTCTCGTCTTGATCAGTTTCCACCCATTGCTTCCTGTCCTGCCCTCAGATGCCTTGGAGAATAGTTTGACTCCCTCTTCTTTGTGCCAACTCCTGAGATATTGGAAGACTGATACCATGTCGCCCCTAGTCCTTCTTTTCATTAAACTAGACATAACCAGTTCCTGCAACCGTTCTTCATATATATATATGGCTTAGAGCTGTGATAGTGAACCTATGGCACGCATACCACAGGAGGCATGCAGAGCCCTCTCTACAGGCATGCGAGCCATCGCCCCAGCCCAGCTGCACCATGCATGTATGCATGCTTCTCCTGCTGGCCAGTTGGTCTTCGGGTCTCTGCTGCCCATGCATGTGGTGCATGCAGGGGGGGGCGTTCGTATTGTATTTTGGGAGGTTCAGGCATGCACGCATGCATTCGCGAGTGC